CTTCCTTCATAGGAAACTTTATAAAATATAAAAAAATGTCAAATATTTTAATCCACCTTACAGCTTTCACTGGTGAGCCCTTTCATAAAATCTTGCAGTCTCTCTATGGATTCATTTAATTTAATTGTACTTGTAAATCCCGAATGGAAAATATTTTAGCACATTTGGAGCAGATTAAAGATTAATGTTGTTTTTCAGAAATATTAAAATGTAACAACAATAGTAGTTGTGATTTTACAACTTTGTTAAACAGCTATTTAGCACAAACTGTTCACTTTTGTTCAAATGTGTGTACAAGGTCAACTGCATCTTATTTGGATCTTATTTGGAATATGTAATTGTATGAGCCTACCTTTAACTTCTGCCCTTTGGATCTGTTGGTTGAGATGCTAAGCTCTTGTGGCTGGTGTATCTTACAATTACAGTTACACTTACTGTGTATTAATGTGTGTTCCCAGACCCCCCTCCACGCTACATACTCAACTGTCCTGGTGGTTTGGGTGTCCTTTCTCCCAACCACGATCTTATGTCTGTGGTTAACTTCAAAGTTATAGAGTAGGTTGTGATCTGTGCTCTGACCTTATCATTGCATTGGGAAAAGAATGGAGAATTAGGCTGATTAGGTCCACCAGGCATACAGTACGGGTTTCTGGTGTGTTCTGTTGAACCCATTACAATGCATAGATGTTGTCCAAATCTGTCCAATTTTCTGAACATCTACATTTCGCCCGCAGTCTGCAGTTTAACAATGAGACTCACACATGGCTGTTGCCTAAAAGGAGAAGAATCTTTGATGCCTTATAGCAACCACTTGACTTTTTTTCCATTTTCTAATCTGCCCTGGCAACATAAAGAAGGTGTATTGGCTGCTATGGGCAGAAATAACAGTTTTTATTTCTGAAGCTGTCATACGTAAAGCCCAATATACTGAATCCCCCAGGTCTGATTATGGGTCAGCAGTGAAAATCTTTATTCTTCCAAGATGGTTCTCTCAAAGTGGCTTTTGAGAGCACACACACTTCCCTGTTATAGAGATAAGAGAATGGACAGCCTTTTCTCCTTTTGAAAAACCCAAGTTGCGCACCAGTCATGGAGAGCTCACTGCTGTGGAGCAGTGGCTGCAGAACTGATATAGGGACGTGTTTGCAGAGCAGTGTTTGGCATGAAACATATTTTCACCTTGATTGTATAAAGTGATGTTGGAAACATGACATGTAAAGGGGTCCCTGAGGACTGGCTTAAGAAATCCTCATGTAATAGAACCTGGAGAATGTAGAAACATCAGAATTGTAGGTAAGCATTTAAGTATCTTTCAGTAAATTGTAAAAGTTGCAGCATTCTAAATAGAATTTGTTTTATATAATGCTACCATAAATAAGTGTTACCTGTAAAAGAAGAATTAAATGTGTATGATTGTCAAGTAAAAAATAGTGACCAAACAAAATACCCTTAATGCTGTATGTTAAAGGTAACATAAATTGTATGCAGATGCCACAAAAAAATATGCAGAACACATATTTCATGTTAAATAGTAATTGTAATATTGTTTCCCAGACTGAGCCATATATGAACACAGCTCATGGTCACATGATCTGCTACTGGGATGGCACGGCTCATTACCTGATGTACCTACTTATGGTTGCAGCGATCGCTTGGGAGTAAGTGGTTTAACCAAAGAGTGGCAAAACTATTACATATATTATATACAATTGTTTGCAGTTGTAATTAACACTAACCCCCTATTCATAGACAACATCAGGTATGAAAGAAAATACAGGAAACATTATTTGAGAAGGCAAAGAGATTTTTTTTTAACCAATAAAAAATGTCTGTGTGATCTTTAGTTGTACATTTGGGGGTCTATTCACGAAGCAGCCGAAGGATCTAGCCGTAGCTTCGGCCGATCCTTTGGCTAACTTCGGCCCCAGGACACCTTCGGTTGAGTAGAACCGAAGGGCTGCTGTACGGGCTATTCACAATAGCCCGTACGGCTCCCGAACTTAGCCGAGTGGCTCAGTCGAGCCGAAGGCATATGCCTCGGCTCGGCTGAGACGCGTTGAAAGCTTCTGACAGCGGGGCGGAGCCAGCCGTGATATTAGGGGTGGCTCCGGTCACTTGCAGAGAGATCAGTGTCCCTGGTTACCAGCTAACCAGGGACACTGATCTCCAAACAGCAAACTCTCCCGCTCCTGGCCGCCAAGGAGAGATACACTGCTTTTTCTTTTTTTTTCTTTATTCTGACACGGAGCCGTTCTATTCTATTCAGAATAGAAAAAAAAAACTTTTGCCAATAGGAATGCATTGCTAGATTCCTATTGGCTATTTCAATTTGCAATAGCCAATAGTAAACTAGCATTGCGCCAGCCCTCTGCTGATGGACCTGATGGAGAACTGCAGCAGAGGGCGGGTGAAATGCTAGTTTACTATTGGCTATTGCAAATTGAAATAGCCAATAGGAATCTAGCAATGCATTCCTATGGGCAAAAATTGTTTTGTTTTGTTTTTCTATTCTGACACGGCTCCGTGTCAGAATAAAGAAAAAAAAGAAAAATCAGTGCTTCTCTCCTTGGCGGCCGGGAGCGGGAGGCTCCCAGAGCGCCCGGGAGAGTTTTTTCTTCTTCTTTTTTTTTTGATGGCAGCAGAACCGCCGGCCAATAGAAAACTGTTGGGCGGAGCTGGCCGTCATTGCTAGCTCGCACAATCATTTCCTATTTATTCTTTTGGACTTTTTAAACAATTTTTCTGTTCTGCTCGGTCCCTCTGAGGGACCGAGCAGAACAGCCGAGCCGAATGCTGCTCAGCGGCATTCGGCTATTCACTCACTGCTGTTCGGCATCTATAAGAATAGACCGAACAGCAGCGAGTAGCCTGCCGGAGGTTCGGCTTAGCCGATCCAGATGTTGGATCGGCTGAGTCGAACTCCTCCTGCACTTCGGGTTGGCCGAACATGCTGAGCATATTCGGCCGACCCGAAGCCACGTGAAGCCACCCGATGTACGGCTGATTTCAGCCGATGTACGGCTGAAATCAGCCGTACCAGCCTGAAGTGAATAGCCGAACAGCGTTCGGCTCACTTCACTTCAGGTCGGTCTTTCACTCGGCTGCCTACGGCAGCTTAGTGAATAGACCCCTTGGAGTATCTCAGTATGCATGTCCACAAACCAAGCAAATACATACCAAACAAATCTATACACACCTAGGGGTCTATTTATAAACATTTTGCAGAACCATTGACCCTGCAAATCTCTGTGAATATTTGTTCTGTTTGAATGGATGCACAAAATGAATGTTATTTTATATTTTCTTTATGAGTTGAATGTATTTCCAAATGTCATGTTGTAATACTGAATTATGACCACTATGTGGCGCTGAGGAGCATAGGAAATAAATCAATCTGAATGCTAACATTTTACCCGAGGAGCAATTACAAAGGATTTCACATCGACAGTGCAGGAATAAATCCATTATTGGCCCTGTAAAATCATATAGCCTTGAGTTGAATATTTCTGCCAACATGATAACAGAGGATAATATTTGTATGGCATAGTTTGAAATGGTGGTGATGTGGTGTAATACACAGGAAGAAACACACACACGCACGCACGCACACATGCACACCATTTTTTGCAGCAACACAGATATAGCTGATAATTATTACTGTTTCCTTCTGCAGTCAAAACTACAGGACAATTGGCCTTTATTGGACTGGATCTATTATAATGAGTATGGTTGTCTTCATTCCTGGAAACTTTGCAGGTAAGTACAACAGGTAGCTAATAATAGTTCAAATTTAATAAAATTGAGTAACGCAAAGGTCTCATTTACATTGTTGAGCTGCGCTAATGTGTATGTTACCACAATGTATGATAACATTATGTACATTGGTGTGATGAGATGCCTTTCATTCTGAATGGCACGATAATGTACCTTCTTAGGCACTTGCATTACAACACAGCATAACACGCAGCAAAGCACTAACATGAATTGCTGTGCAAGCACTTTTAGGTGTGTTGGGCAGCCTACTGAAATAAATGAGCTACCTTAACACAACACACGTTAGGATATGGCATAACGCAGGTTAACACAGTGCTACAGTGTGAACCCACCGTATGGACCGGATTTCTGATAGCTAACACTAGCCATGGCAGCACAGCTTACCTTACAGAATAAGCACACAGCCGCTGACATGGCAAGTTTCTGTCAGTATAGTGCAGTCCACCCAGGTCCTTAAAGTGACCTTAAACCCTCAGATTTTTTAAACATAAAACAATACTGTAATGTGTGCCTTACTGTAATCCATGGTTGTTTCCCTTCTCTTTGCTGCTCTTTCTTTTAAATCTGTATCTGTTCTCATGCTGGGCAGAAGTTTTGTTTTGCAGCAGACTGCCTTGTCTCAGGAATGGATACATGGTGTCTGTATGTAGGTTTGCAACCTGAGCCAGCACTACAGGAAGAGGCAGTCAGCTGCAAAGGGAAGTTCTCCCCAAGCATGTGAAGACATGAGGATTTAAAAGGAAGCGCAGCAAAGAGAAGGGAAACTACCATGGATTACAGTAAGGCGCACATTACAGTATTGGTTTATGTTAAAAAATCTGAGGGTTTAATGTCACTTTAATGGTGCTATTCCTGCATAATCTGTCTATTATTTTGGTGGAAGAGTGTACGGTGTATTTATATTTCACCCATCCTTGGGTGAAATCCTAGGGACACAGTTTGATGGTTCCTGTTGTAAATGGCCAAAGGTAGGAGGAGGCAGCGTTATACAGTTAGCCAAGGGGGTAGGAGATATCAATACATTGTTGGCGATAGTAGAGGTGATAATGTTTTTGTGAATTTTTGCCGAATTAGTCATCTAGGACTTAATAAAAAATGTTTTGAAACTCTACTACTGCTAAGCATAAACGTATACCTGCATTGTCTCTACATCCTACATTGCCCCTTTTACATCCTGGGTAAGATACTGACCCTTATCTAATAATTTAATTTGGTCTGAACTCAAAAGGTTAATTGTTTCAACAACTAATATTTTAGTTATTAGTGAGCTGAATCACCCACTGACAGTAGAGGACTTCAACAACTATATCATTCCTCTGCATTTCATGGCTTGAAAGTCAACCCGTGCTTTGTCCATGCTGGGCACACAGGTACACTTTAAAAACAATCCCACCAGCAGCACATTTCTCATTGTTTTTCCTTCCATGTGCCAGAGCTGGCGCTCAGTGACTGGTTTCTCAGGAACTCATTGTGGTCCCAGGCAGAGATTATCCTGCTGGGGTTCCTTGCAGTTACCAGAAGCTTATGGGTAACATAACCCTGCACATATTCATGCTTACCATCTAGGTAACACATGAACAGAATCACACTGCTTATATCATAGAAATGCAGAAGATGTATTGTTATTACTTTTACTGCGCATATTTATTACAGTACAAACTGAACATAAATAGTTTTTTCTGTTCTACAGGGAAATATGGTACACGGATCTGTTCGACAATTCTCCTAAACTTTCCATATTTTTGCCTTCCACTCTGGGCTGCATTCAAGATCTACAATCAGCCGTCTGTTATTCATAACCCGCCTATAGAGGTAATGTATTTAACATTGATTATTCTGTCTTCTCAGAGATGTAACGAAAGATGCCGAATGCCATTGATATTGTTATACTAAGCCATTCAGAATTGTTGCCATCTTAGCTGCCTTAGCTATGTGTTCTCAGTGGAATATACACATAAAGGACAATTCTAGCAATCTCCTCTTTCAATTGGGGAGTCTGCTCCCTTACCTCTCTGATCTTTCTCATCCATTTGTGGGTTAAGCTAGTCATTTCTAACTCTTTATGATCCATGTAACTTGGGGTTGGGGCAGTAAATGTGTCGTTTGGCTATACTCTTTGTGCTGAAGGGTGTCCCACTTTCCCATTTCAGAAAGTTAGGAGGTATGGATATGCTGTAAATGCTTTACTGAATTCCCACCATTGTGTTTTCCTGATGCCTACTAAGCACCCTCCACCTTTCTGGGGTTGAATACCTCACCACAGACCATCCCTCAGGGAAGCTGCATTGTGCCTGCACTCTCTGGCTCATAACAGATGTGCAGCATAATTGGCTTATTGCGCCCCTTATTGGGCCCCCTCTGAAAAGCACCTGAGGTTATGCAGTTGATGGGATACCAGAACTTTTGATGAAGCCTGTGCTATGAAGTTTTCCATTAGATACATTAGCTCTGTTGAAGCTGTTAGTACCATCAGAGGATGTTAAGGTATATTTAAACCACATCCTTGAAAAATTGATTTAACATGTAAAAGTAATTTCAAATTACCGGTACATTAAAATGACAGATTTCTTAAATCTGTAGCAGCTTTCATTTGCATAACTGGTACTCCTAACATGAAAGACCTTGTACAGGCCCTTGCTGTAATAGGGTGTCTCCCAATTGTTCTGGTGTGTTGTCACTCTTTCTCCCAGGCTTCCAATTGAGACTACTAGTGGTCGTTTCCACACACATTACACAGGCATGGTCCTTTGCTGTCGCTATCAAGAAACCTGCCCTGAGAAATGCATTATGTTTGCTGGAGTACATACATGTAGACAGAAGGTGGTTTCAAAGAAGCTGCAGAAGATTAGCAGCACTGAGATGCAACAAAGAATGAAGTGGTTTAAAGGTTAAATAGCTTGAAATACAGTTGTTTATGATACACGTGGCTTTAGCAAACTTTATTTAATTTAATTAGGGTTCACGTGTATTTTTATATGAAATATGCATCCTAAAGGACAAGTCATTCATTAACATTAGTCTATATTCTTCTTTGCAGGCAACACAAAATATTCAGAAGAAAAATATATTCCAGAGACCATCTGACTTGCTCTTAGCTTTGTACCTTATTGCTGCAAGTATCTTTTGTGTATTCCGTGGAATGGTGAGTCATGTAATCATTGCATGGCAATATCATTGTATCAGTGGTTAAACTGGTTATGGCTTAGTGATGGATAAAGAATATAAGTGTGTATTTTGTACATACGAGGGATGCATCAATACCATTACTGGTATCCAAATTAGTGCCGATACTGAGCATTTGGGCGAGTACTCATACTCGCCCAAATGCTCCAATACTTATCCCGATATACCGGAACTTCTGGTCAGATGGAGATTCCCTCTGACCAGCAGTGCCAGTTGGGAGCATGGAGCCAGCTTCCCGGCCAATCAAGAAGCCGGGCGACATGTCATGGTCCACCACCTGGCTTCTTGATTGGCTAGAAAGCCAGCTTCACGCTGCTTAGAAACACTTTGAGGCAGCTTGGCTTCCTAACCAATCAGGAAGCTGGGCGGCAGGCCATGACCCACTGGCCCGGCTTCCTGATTGGCTTTGCAGTGTCGCTAGGGAGCACGAAGCTGGTGTGCTTCCAATTGAACACCGTCTTCCCAGGCAATCAGGAAGCCAGGTAGCAGGTCATGACGCACCACCCGGCTTCCTGATTAGCCGGGTCCACGCTACCTTGGGATGCCGGTATCAGTATTCGGTATCAACGAGTACCAAAAGAAAAATATCTGTACTCGATGGCAAGAAAACAGTATCGGTGCATTCCTGGTGCATACCCACACTTACATATGTTATTATGGGTTCACCATGAGCAAATTCATATGGTTAGAGACATTCACAGCACTATGGATGAATATAGACAGAGTGATTGCACTGTGCAGTTGAATGACAAATCTGTAAATATATATAGTACGATTTTAATTATATGGCAAAGCAGGCAGATAACATTGTGAAAGTTATACAAACATTTACTTGAAGTAAGATGCCTTGATAATAAATCAGGATATGCACTGCCTGAGAATAAACTACATTTTCTTTATAAGAGCAATAATAGTGTTAATTATGTTATCAGTTCAGAGAAATTAAAACCTTGTTTAAATTCTTTGATACCTGTGTAGCCAACTGTACATCCAGAATGAATGTAACACAGCACATATGAAGACTAAATATATGCAGATTATTGTAGTCAGACTTTCATATGAGCTACTTGACCCATATCAATACAAGATTACATTTACAATTATTGAGTGTTTTGTAGCATTGCTTAGTTGTTTGCATGTGAAGACTCGGTGTCACTCCTCAGTATCATAAATACATTAAACACCATTGAGATCTGTGGAGTAGAGACAGTGTATAGAGAAGTCCCTTGAGTCATTTGAGCCAATACATGCTTAGAGACAAGCAATACCAAAATGTTATTAGATGTTTCTCCGGTCAGTACAGACTGCTTTGAACCAACTACTAGATCATGCCCAGTCTTAAATTCTGCTTTCTTTCTTGACACTCCCTAACCAGGTTCCAAGAAGTGGACCAGAAATAATTAGCATAAATAAAGTGGACTAGAAATAATTAGCATACCTACAACTTACTGAAAGCAGAATGTTGAAGAAAATAACACAGGAGCGCACTGATCAGCTTCTTGTCAGTAAATAATTAACATTATACAGGCATGTGCATAAATAAATGAATATCCACAAGTGCAACGCGTATAACCAACAGAAGGATTGGACGAATGTATGGCTGAAGTGGCAGTCATTCTAGTCTAGATGACAGTAGACACTGAGCCAAGGAACATACTGTATGTTATCATTCACAACAGAAAATCTCAAAAAATGTTAGCTGCCAACAATCATTTTCAGTCACATCAGCTGCTGTGTTGCTGACCTCTAGGACATAGTGAAACATGTTAGAGCAAAGCAGACCTTGACAGGGACTGAGCAGTATTTTTTTTTATTTCTTGTTGTTATCATCTCTCATTCACTGGCTCTATGTATTTCATATGTTCCAGGAATTAATGAGTTAGCTACCTTGTTTGCGATTGTGAGGATAGTTTTGCAGGGAGAGTGAAAATACACTATTCATTACAATTTTATATTGATTTGCAGATTGCCTTAGACTGTCCTTCTGATATCTGTCGCTTTTATTCACAATTGCAAGAACCGTATATTAGAGATCCTGCTGCCTATCCAAAACTTCAGGTAATCACTTCTGAAAGGACATTTAGGGGTCTATTTATTAACAATTTGCAGAGTGAACGTGAACGTTGCTTCTGTGTGAGGTAAAACAAATGAAAGTTTTTAGTACATTTCCTGGTCAGGTGGAAGGTCATGTAATACTGCATTATGGCCACAAGATGGAGGAAAGTATTAGGATATACTCATTTCCTAAGACCCAGACCCATCTAGGACCCATCTAGGATATACTCATTTCCTAAGCTCCCCAGACCCATCTAGGACCCATCTAGGATATACTCATTTCCTAAGACCCAGACCCATCTAGGACCCATCTAGGATATACTCATTTTCTAAGCTCCAAAGACCAATCTAAGAACAAATCAATGCAGTAATGTAATGATTGAAACATTGCAAGTGGTGTAAATTATTTCCTAAGACCCAGACCCATCTAGGACCCATCTAGGATATACTCATTTCCTAAGACCCAGACCCATCTAGGACCCATCTAGGATATACTCATTTCCTAAGACCCAGACCCATCTAGGACCCATCTAGGATATACTCATTTCCTAAGACCCAGACCCATCTAGGACCCATCTAGGATATACTCATTTCCTAAGACCCAGACCCATCTAGGACCCATCTAGGATATACTCATTTCCTAAGACCCAGACCCATCTAGGACCCATCTAGGATATACTCATTTCCTAAGACCCAGACCCATCTAGGACCCATCTAGGATATACTCATTTTCTAAGCTCCAAAGACCAATCTAAGAACAAATCAATGCAGTAATGTAATGATTGAAACATTGCAAGTGGTGTAAATACCTGATTTTGACTTGCTATCAGCCTCTTGCAGTCCCTGTACAGTATGTGTAGGAGAGCTCAGAGAAGGGGAAGAAGAACCAGCCCAAGGAGCCAATTAGTGGTGCTGTGCTGCAAGATGATATGCTGATAGGAGGAGAGAAGAGTGACAGTGAGATGAGCTAATCAGTGTGCTGCTCCTCCTTTTACTGTCCAGTCACATGGTGAGAAGGGGGGTCAGTAAGTGAAAGTGAAACTGCAGCAGTGAAAGACTTGCTAGACAGGGCTGTGTACATCTCAGGAATGTATGGAAAGAAATGCAAATTCTTTGTCGGCTAAAATAACTGCCATATTTCTATCTAATCTACAGTATGTATTTAGCTGTTTGCCTGGAGTTTAGTTTTAATGAATATTCTAAAAAATATAGCTGAAGGGAAAGGCATTGAGGGGGATTTTATCAAAACTGGAGCAGACAAAATCTGGAGCAGTTGCCTATGGCAACCAATCAGCTTCTCTCTTTCATTTTCAAACCTTAACTGAACAAATTGAAGAGAGAAGCTGATCGGTTGCCCTGCACAACTGCTCCAGATTTTGTCTGCTCCAGTTTTGATAAATTCCCCCCAGAGGGGGAATTGCTTGTTAGCCCCCTACCTTATTGCTTGCCCCTATGTAGCCCCCTATGTAATAGCAGTTAGGGTGTGACAGGTCCTCTTTATGGAGACATCAGGGTTCCTTCAGACCCCTAATGTCACCTAGGGACCCCAAAGACAGAACTGCTCGATATAAACGATCCGGTGGCTGTATAGACGCTGGATCATTTGTACAATAACAGCCATTGCTGGCTGTTAAGAATGACACCAAGAACAAGGCTGCTGCAGCAGCCGTGTTCTTGTTTTAACCACTTCTGTGGGCCGCCATATATAGTCGTATTGCGGCCCGGAAGTGGTTAATTTTTACAATTTTTTACACTCAACTTTATTGCTATCACATAGGGGACTAACAAGCTCCCTATGTAATAGCAAACAGGATGTGACAGGTCCTCTTTATGGAGACATCAGGGGTCTTTCAGACCGCTAATGTCACCTAGGGACCCCAAAGAAGCTGATGAAGCAGAGATCTGCTTCTTCTTCTTCTGGCTCTAGGAGCTGGAGAATGTGCACAGTGACACAGGAAGTGATGTAATACACATCACTTCCGGGCCCATTGATCGGAGGAGAGATCAGCGGCTAGAAGCCTGCTGATCTCCCTCAGATCAATAAGGGGAGACCTGCCGTGCCAGTCCCCCACGGGGGACAGCGGAGCGCCGGGAGCTATAACTCTATTACAGAGGTATAGCCATGCTAAGCAACACACACTGATGTAGCCTAATTGTGCCTAGGCATTTCGGTTTCAGTAACCTCTGGCCACAAAGGATGAATGTACACAATGCAACACTACCTTGCAGCTCTAATTCTCTTATGCTTTCATAAATCAGTTCTACTGTATGTAACAAGCAACATCCATGTGAATAGAGTAACATCAGCAAATTGATCAAGTTCTCATCAAACTTGCCCTAATCAATATAAAAGCTGTGGTCATAGAAAGTATTTATCTCTGGAGCTGTTATACATTGGTGTCTAAATGTTGCTGCCTCTGCTTTCTCTGCTTTGCAGATGTTGGTGTATATGTTCTATTCAGTTCCATGCAATCTAATTACGTTGTATGGTTTGCTGGTTCCTGGATGTACTTGGGTGCCAGACTTGACTCTTATTCATGCCGGGGGATTAGCTCAGGTAGGGTTCTTCTCATGTACATCTGTGTTTGTGTGTTTTTAAGCTTTTACATATCAAGTGCTGTTTTTCATTGCTCATGTACTTGTGCACATGCCCTAATAAATTAGCTGTCTGCAGCACTGAAGCCATTAGTAGTGTGTGAGCTGGAGGCACTCTAACAGTGGGACTGACCCCTGTGCCTAGAATAATACATGTTGCAACTGCATGGTGGTAAGGCAACACAATGCTCAGGGTATTAGGCTAGGCTTCAGGTACTCATGAAACCCTACCGCTGGTAGCAGATGAGGGTGTAATAGCTGGAGGTGACCTCAATCACTGCAGATGAGCAGCAGAAAAAGACCAAAGATCAGTTACATGCGGCTTTTTGCACTGCAGGAGAAACAGTAGTGAGGTGCTTCCTTGGTGCTGAAAGGTAGAAAATAGAGTGAGGAGCAGGTGTGTGACATTTCCCCAAGTGGATGACATCAGTGCTCAGTGCCTCTGCATTCACCTCTTCCATGGTACCATAGGAATCAGAGGAAAGTGGAAGTTTTATAGGTGCCCAGTGATCCAGTTAGATAAGGCAGCTCCTGATGCTCAGTCCAGTTGACCTACTCACAGAGTGAGTCGTCAATGAAATTGCAAGCTTTGACAGTCTGGACCTGAAGAAGTGCTCCACGGCTAACTTGTTACCAGAATGGGATCTCAAAATCACCTTATGTGGAACTCAAGGCTACTTCCAGGCTAGTCCAGCAGAGTCCAGAGATGGCACTCCCCCTTAATTTATAGAGACTAGTTCTGGTAGCACTGTACACAAGAGTGCTGATTAAACAAACATTTGTTTACCATTGTCCATTGCTCCTGGAAGCGGCAGTATAACCCGAAGGTTTAAGACTTCTATCTCCCTCAGTGGATGATAAAGAAAAGCTCCTTCCTGTTGGGTATAAAGGGCAGGCACATCCCTACATAAACCTTTAAGTCCCGGTCATTATGCTTTAAAAAAGAACTATGGTCAAACCTTTTTTGGCCGTAGTTCTCTTTAGGGTTACAGGATTGTACTCCTGTGACCCAAAACTCACCATCGCAGCATATAACTATGGGGATGAGTTTATTTCACTCTCCCCATAATTCTCCTCTAATGCCAAACCCTTCTGACAGGCAGGGCTTCAGTATCACAGCTTGACTGCCTAGTGCAATTCATAGTGAAAGGCTAATAGTAATGTGTGGGAGGGAACAGGCAAGCTTCAACGCTACCAGAAAGTGTCAGAGCTTTGCCTGTCAGAATGGCCTGACATTTGGGAATAACAGTGGAAACGTGAAAGCTGCTGCAGGGATGTGCCTGTACTTTATACTCGTCAACAAGTGTTTTCCCCTCAGTGGCAGAGCTGCTTTGAACCACCTGTTTTTAATGTCTCTCAGGGAGTCTATTGGTGGGACATCCCTTCATCAACCTTCAACCCCCATCGTTACACTGAAAAGTTAGGCCATTTTGAAAGGCAAAGTGCTTTCTGTGTTGAAGCTGTCCTACACTCTCCGACTTTCCCTCCTTTTCCTCCCTGTTGGCTGATCACTTTGATGTGTTGAAGATGGGCAAGTTTCTAATACCAGGAAATGTTGTAGCTTTGACCATCAGAAAGCTCAGCATTTGGGCATAACTGTGGGGACTTGGAGGCTGCTGCAGGTTTATGCAGACTTAGCACAAGGATGATCAGAACACACCCAACACCCACCAACCTGAAAGCCACATTGCACCATTTTTACATATAAACTCAGCATGTAGTGTGATGCACATACAGCTCACAAGCCACCTTCAGAGATACCAAGTAATGGTGAACCATTCAGTATAAATATGATTACATTAACAGCCTGTATTTAAAATGTATAAAGAACACAACAATTTGATAGCTTTTCTTTTAGTTTAGTTTTTAAGTACTCTTGCATGTGGTGAAAATGTACATGAAATCATAAACTATGTGTATTTCAGTGAGCCCTGTGCACATTCATAGTTACACAGTTGTTACGGCTGAATAAAGACACAGGTCCATCGAGTTCAACCTTTGGATTTTGTGTGTGTGTCTGTGACTAAGATGACCTGTACCCCAGGGGCTGACTGGCAACTTTTAGCCCAGGTGGCAAGTACAACCTAGAGGCCCATGGTGCGGCAACTTGACCCCCCTCCCGCTTTGCCTCTTCCCCCGCCTTCTCCCCGCCCGTCTGCCACTTTTGCCATCCATGTAACAGTAGTGTGAATGTATTTATCGTTTCAGGAAATGTAAAGCACACTGGTAGTGGAGGGATGCCACGTCAGGGCTGTGCGCGTGCATGACTGCTGCAACCCTCGTAGTTCTGCCACTAACTCAGAAATACATTGTACAGCATTGCAGAATGGCATTGGCTTTAGAGAACTACAATTCCCAGCAATACATTACACAACAATGCAGAATACCATCAGCTATAGCGGACTATAAATCCCAGCAATAATGACTACCATCAGCTATAGAG